TGTTTGTTGTGTGTTTCAGGTGTGTGTTGTTGTGTGTTTCAGGTTGTGTGTTTGTTGTTGTGTGTTTCAGGTTGTGTGTTGTTGTGTGTTTCAGGTTGTGTGTTTGTTGTTGTGTGTTTCAGTGTTGTGTGTTGTTGTGTTGTGTGTGTTGTTGTGTGTTTCAGGTTGTGTGTTTGTTGTTGTGTGTTTCAGGTTGTGTGTTTGTTGTGTTGTGTGTTCAGGTTGTGTGTTTGTTGTTGTGTGTTTCAGGTTGTGTGTTTGTTGTTGTGTGTGTTTCAGTTGTTTTGTGTTTCAGGTTGTGTTTGTTGTTGTGTGTTTCAGGTGTGTGTTGTTGTTGTTGTGTGTTTCAGGTTGTGTGTTTTGTTGTTGTGTGTTGTTGTGTTTTATTGTTGTGTGTTTCAGGTTGTGTGTTGTTGTGTGTTTGTTTGTTGTGTGTTTCAGGTTTTGTGTGTTGTTGTGTGTTCAGTTGTGTGTTGTGTGTTTTAATGTTGTGTGTTGTTGTGTGTTTCAGGTTTGTGTGTTTGTTGTTGTGTGTTTCAGGGTTTGTGTGTGTTGTTGTGTGTTTCAGGTTGTGTGTTTGTTGTTGTGTGTTTCAGGTTGTGTGTTTGTTGTTGTGTGTTTCAGGTTGTGTGTTGTTGTGTGTTTCAGTTGTTGTGTGTTTCAGGTTGTGTGTTTGTTGTTGTGTGTTTCAGGTTGTGTGTTTGTTGTTGTGTGTTTCAGGTTGTGTGTTGTTGTGTGTTCAGTTGTGTGTGTTGTTGTGTGTTTCAGGTTGTGTGTTTGTTGTTGTGTGTTTCAGGTTGTGTGTTGTTGTTGTTGTTGTGTGTGTTGTTGTGTGTTTCAGGTTGTGTTTTTGTTGTGTGTTTCAGGTTGTGTGTTGTTGTGTGTTTCAGGTTGTGTGTGTGTTGTGTGTTTCAGGTTGTGTGTTGTGTGTTTCAGGTTGTGTGTTGTTGTGTGTTTCAGTTGTTGTTTGTTGTGTGTGTGTTGTTGTGTGTTTCAGGTTGTGTGTTGTTGTGTGTTTCAGGTTGTGTGTTTGTTGTGTGTTTCAGGTTGTGTGTTTGTTGTTGTGTGTTTCAGGTTGTGTGTTGTTGTGTGTTGTTGTTGTTTGTTGTTGTGTGTGTGTTGTTGTGTGTTTCAGGTTGTGTGTTGTGTGTTTCAGGTTGTGTGTTGTTGTGTGTTTCAGGTTGTTGTGTGTTGTGTGTTTCAGGTTGTGTTTGTTGTTGTGTGTTTCAGGTTGTGTGTTTGTTGTTGTGTGTTGTTGTTGTGTGTTTAGGTTGTGTGTTTGTTGTTGTGTGTTTCAGTGTGTGTTGTGTGTGTTTGTGTGTTGTGTGTTTTCAGGTTGTGTTGTTGTTGTGTGTTTCAGGTTGTGTGTTGTTGTGTGTTTCAGGTTGTGTGTTGTTGTTGTGTTGTTGTGTGTTGTTGTGTGTTTCAGTTTGTTGTTGTTGTGTGTTTCAGGTTGTGTGTTGTTGTGTGTTTCAGTGTTGTTGTGTTGTTGTTGTGTGTTTCAGGTTGTGTGTTTGTTGTTGTGTGTTTCAGGTTGTGTGTGTTTTGTTGTTGTGTGTTTCAGGTTGTGTGTTTGTTGTTGTGTGTTTCAGGTTGTGTTTGTTGTTGTGTGTTTCAGGTTGTGTGTTTTGTGTGTTTCAGGTTGTTGTTGTTGTGTGTTTCAGGTTGTGTTTGTTGTTGTGTGTTTTCAGGTTGTGTTGTGTTTGTTGTTGTGTGTTTGTTGTTGTGTGTTTCAGGTTGTGTGTGTTGTGTGTGTTTGTTGTTGTGTTGTGTGTTTCAGGTTGTGTGGTTTGTTGTTGTTTGTGTGTGTTGTTGTGTGTTTCAGTTGTTTGTGTGTTTGTTGTTGTGTGTGTGTTGTTGTGTGTTTCAGGTTGTGTGTTGTTGTTGTGTGTTTCAGGTTGTGTGTTTGTTTGTGTTTCAGGTTGTGTGTTTGTTGTTGTGTGTTTCAGTTGTTGTGTGTTGTGTGTGTTGTGTGTTTCAGTTGTTGTGTGTTTGTGTGTGTTGTGTGTTTCAGGTTGTTGTGTTTGTTGTTGTGTGTTTCAGGTTGTGTGTTTGTTGTTGTGTGTTTCAGGTTGTGTGTGTTGTTGTGTGTGTTTCAGTTGTGTGTGTTTGTTGTGTGTTTCAGGTGTGTGTTTGTTGTTGTGTGTTTCAGTGTTTTGTTGTGTTGTTGTGTGTGTGTGTGTTGTTGTGTGTTTCAGGTTTGTGTGTTTGTTGTTGTGTGTTTCAGGTTTTGTGTTTTGTTGTGTGTTTCAGGTTGTGTGTTGTGTGTTTCAGGTTGTTGTTGTGTGTTTCAGGTGTTTGTTGTTGTGTGTGTTTCAGTTGTGTGTGTTTGTTGTGTGTTGTTGTGTGTTTGTTGTTGTGTGTTTCAGGTGTGTGTGTTGTGTGTGTTTCAGGTTGTGTGTTGTGTGTTTCAGTTTGTGTGTTTGTTGTGTGTTGTGTGTTGTTGTTGTGTGTTTCAGTTGTGTGTGTTGTTGTTGTGTGTTGTGTTTGTTGTGTGTTTCAGTTGTTGTTGTGTGTTTCAGGTTGTTGTTGTGTGTGTTCAGGTTGTGTGTTGTGTGTTGTGTGTGTGTTGTTGTGTGTTTCAGTTGTGTGTTTGTGTGTTGTGTGTTGTGTTGTTTGTGTGTTTCAGTTGTTGTGTGTTTCAGGTTGTGTGTTTGTGTGTGTTTCAGGTTGTGTGTGTTGTGTGTTTCAGTGTGTTTGTGTGTGTGTTTGTTTGTTGTTGTGTGTTTCAGTTGTGTGTGTTGTGTGTGTCAGGTGTTGTTGTGTTGTGTGTTTCAGGTTGTGTTTGTTGTTGTGTGTTTCAGGTTGTGTGTTTGTTTGTGTGTTCTTGTGTGTTGTTGTGTGTTTCAGGTTGTGTGTGTGTGTGTTGTTGTGTGTTTCAGTTGTGTGTGTTGTGTGTTTCAGGTTGTGTGTTGTTGTGTGTTTCAGGTTTGTGTGTTGTGTGTTTCATGTGTGTTTGTTGTGTTTCAGTTGTGTGTGTTGTTGTTGTGTGTTTCAGTGTTGTGTGTGTTGTTGTGTGTTTCAGTTGTTGTGTGTTTGTTGTTGTGTGTGTTTCAGTGTTGTTGTTGTTGTGTGTTTCATGTGTGTGTTGTGTGTGTTTCAGGTTTGTGTTGTTGTGTGTTTCAGGTTGTGTGTGTTGTTGTTGTTGTGTTTCAGGTTGTGTGTTTGTTGTTGTGTGTTTCAGGTTGTGTGTTGTGTTGTTGTGTGTTTCAGGTGTGTGTTGTTTGTGTTGTGTGTTTCAGGTGTGTGTTGTTGTGTGTTTCAGTGTTGTGTGTTGTTGTGTGTTTCAGGTTGTGTGTTTGTGTTGTGTGTTTCAGGTTGTGTGTTTGTTGTGTGTGTTTCAGGTTGTGTGTTTTTGTTGTTTGTGTTTGTGTTGTTGTGTGTTTCATGTTTGTTGTGTGTTTGTTGTTGTGTGTTTCAGGTTGTGTGTTGTTGTGTGTGTTTCAGTTGTTGTGTGTTTTGTTGTTGTGTGTTTCAGGTTGTGTGTTTGTTGTGTGTTTCAGTTGTGTGTTTGTTTGTTGTGTGTTTCAGGTGTGTTTGTGTTGTTGTTGTTGTGTTTCAGGTTGTGTGTTGTTGTTTGTGTGTTTCAGGTTGTGTGTTGTTGTTGTTGTTGTGTTTGTTGTTGTGTGTGTTGTTGTTGTGTGTTTCAGGTGTGTGTGTTGTTGTTGTTGTGTGTTTCAGGTTGTGTGTTGTTGTTTGTGTTGTTTCAGTGTTTGTGTGTGTTGTTGTTGTGTGTTTGTTGTTGTGTGTTTGTGTTGTTGTGTGTTTCAGGTTGTGTGTTGTTGTTGTTGTGTGTTTCAGTGTTGTGTGTGTTTGTTGTTGTGTGTGTGTTCAGGTTGTGTTGTGGTGTGTTGTTGTTGTTGTGTTTGTTGTTTGTGTGTTGTGTTGTGTTGTGTGTTTCAGTGTTGTTGTGTTTTCAGTTGTTGTGTGTTTCAGGTTGTGTGTTTGTTGTTGTGTGTTTCAGGTTGTGTGTTTGTTGTTGTGTGTTTCAGGTTGTGTGTTGTTTGTTTGTTGTGTGTTTCAGTGTTGTGTGTGTTGTTGTTGTGTGTTTCAGTTGTGTTTGTTGTGTTTGTTGTTGTGTGTTTCAGGTTGTGTGTTTGTTGTGTGTGTGTTGGTTGTGTGTTTGTTTTGTTGTTGTGTGTTTCATGTTTGTGTGTTTGTTGTTGTGTTGTTTTGTTGTTGTGTGTTTTGTTGTTGTGTGTTTGTTGTTGTGTGTTGTTGTTGTGTGTTTCTGTTTGTGTGTTGTTTGTTGTGTGTTTGTTTGTTGTTGTGTGTTTCAGGTTTGTGTGTTTGTTGTTGTGTGTGTTGTTGTTGTGTGTTTCAGGTTGTGTGTTGTGTGTTGTGTGTTTCAGGTTGTGTGTTTGTTGTTTGTGGTGTGTGTTTGTTGTTGTGTGTTTCAGTTGTGTGTTTGTTGTTGTGTGTTTCGGTTGTGTTTGTTGTTGTTGTGTGTGTTGTGTGTGTGTTTCAGGTTGTGTTTGTGTTGTTGTTGTGTGTTTCAGGTTGTGTGTTTGTTGTTGTGTGTTTCAGGTTGTGTGTTTCATGTTTTGTGTGTTTTGTTGTTGTGTGTTTCAGGTTTGTGTTGTTTGTTGTTGTTGTGTGTTTCAGGTTGTGTGTTTGTTGTTGTGTGTTTCAGGTTGTGTGTTTGTTGTTGTGTGTTTCAGTTGTGTGTTGTTGTGTGTTTCAGTGTTGTGTGTTTGTGTGTTTTGTTGTTGTGTGTTTCAGGTTGTTGTGTTTTGTTGTTGTGTGTTTCAGGTTGTGTGTTTGTTGTTGTGTGTTTCAGGTTGTGTGTTTGTTGTTGTGTGTTTCAGGTTGTGTGTTCAGGTTGTGTGTTTCAGGTTGTGTGTTTGTTGTGTGTTTCAGGTTGTGTGTTTGTTGTTGTGTGTTTCAGGTTGTGTGTTGTTGTTGTGTGTTTCAGGTTGTGTGTTTTGTTGTTGTGTGTTTCAGGTTGTGTGTTTGTTGTTGTGTGTTTCAGGTTGTGTGTTTGTTGTTGTGTGTTTCAGGTGACCTGGAGGGGAAGGTGAAATGGCTGGATAATTATCAGAAGGTGAAGCAGCTCCGTGATGCTCTGGTGTGGCTGCCCGTGTGGGAGAGAGACAAACGCGCCGTCATCCCAGAGGTGAGCGAGGGAACTGCACTCTGGTCACTCTGGTCACTCTGGTCACTCTGGTCACTCTGGTCACTCTGGTCACTCTGGTCACTCTGGTCACTCTTTGATTCTGCGCTCTGTTTATATGGAAAAGCAGCTGTTGTTTTATGCCAGATGCTTTAATGCTGCACTGTGTAACTTTCTGGTTGGGGGTCCGTCTTCTTGTTTCTATGGATACGTCATTGCTCTGTCTGGAATGTTCCGCAGTGTGACATTAAACAGCTCTACTTTACGGTTATTCAATTACAGGTGGTTTTATAGCTCAAAAATACCTCGAAAAACAAAACATTCTGACTGTGAGCGGGGTTGTTTTTGCAAGTCTCAAGTCTTTGACCTCAAGTCCGAGTCAAGTCCTAAGTCGAGTCTCAAGTCTCGAGTCACTGGCTCATAAGTCCAAGTCGAATCTCGAGTCAATGGCTCATAAGTCCAAGTCGAGTCCAAGTCGAGTCTCGAGTCACTGGTCCAAGTCAAGTCAGTCACTGGCCATAAGTCCAAGTCCAAGTCGAGTCTCGAGTCACTGGCCCATAAGTCCAAGTCGAGTCTCGAGTCACTGGCCCATAAGTCCAAGTCGAGTCCAAGTCGAGTCCAAGTCGAGTCTCGAGTCACCGGCTCATAAGTCCAAGTCAAGTCCAAGTCGAGTCTTGAGTCACCGGCTCATAAGTCCAAGTCAAGTCCAAGTCGAGTCTCGAGTCACTGGCCCATAAGTCCAAGTCGAGTCCAAGTCAAGTCTTGAGTCACCGGCTCATAAATCCAAATCCAAGTCCAAGTCCAAGTCGAGTCTCGAGTCACCAGCTCATAAGTCCAAGTCCAAGTCGAGTCCAAGTCGAGTCTGGAGTCACTGGCTCATAAATCCAAGTCAAGTTCAAGTTATTTCAAGTCTTTAAACCAAAGTACCAAATACATCTTAGATTTGATCCATTTATATGAATTTTAAACTAAATTGTACTTATAAAGTCATGGTGTATTTATATATGAATATTTATATAAAAGTTGTAGAAATGCAAATTATTTCTTTTAAATGTTTTGACAAGATCTGAGTGTGAATCATTATGGTCAGAACAGAAGTGCTACAATTGTTTTGCCACGAAGGATCATGTTCTCTGTAGTTCCCCCTGTTTACTGTAAGTACTATATTGTACTGTGTTGTACTGTGTATTTACTGTAGTACTTCTGAGTATCACAGTACTTCAGTTTCATCCAAAGTAAGTTTGTTCCTGTAAAATGAATCACTGCGTTTATCAACTATAAAGAGAAAAGTATTCTCTAAAAACAGATATTTTTTAGGAGAAACATAAGTCACAGGCCTCAAGTCCGAGTCGAGTCCCAAGTCTTTGTCCATTTTATCAAGTCAAGTCTCAAGTCCTAAAAACAGTGACTCAAGTCTGACTCGAGTCCAAGTCCCGACCTCAGATCTGACCTGTCACTTGGTCTGGTTTGGTCTCCGTGAAGACAGAACGATTTAATGCCGTACTGTGGAACATTCCAGACAAAGCAAGAAAAGTTACACAATGCAGCTTTAATGTCTGACAGAAAGTATTGGAAACTTAAAGCGCACGTGACGGGTTTTCATGTTTTTGTGGTTCCTGGTTTGGTGGTGATGCCTGTGGTGAGTTTTTAATCATAGTTTTACATTAAGAAGCAGCAGTCAGAATTCCCACGGTCATGGAAATCCTGGAAAAGTCATGGAAATTGATTCTAGGCCTGGAAAAGTCATGGAAATTGACTTTAGGCCTGGAAAAGTAATGGAATTTTGAGTATCTCTTTCACGCAGCTCCAGTGTTCTGTTCAGTTCTCGTGAGTCTGTTCTGTTTTCTGTGTCTTTTGTTTAAAAGAGACGACAATAAATGCACTGACAGGATTTTAAATGTTCAAAAACTATAATCCCAAACCATAAGGTGAGTGGAAAGAGTTCACATTTCAGATTTAGAACTAAAAGTTTGATCAATTCTACACGTGTAGGAGCCGTAAAGTCATTGAAAAGTTCAGTTTTTTTCTGACAGATTGAACAGTTTTAAATAAATAAACTGTTGTCATCTGTTGCTATAAGTTTAATCAGAACTATTTTGCCACTTAATAATAATAAAAATAATACATAACACTTGTTTATCTCGTTTCTTGACTCTCGAAGACGCTTCTCTCAGTTCGTCTTTGGCTCTTGTTTACATTACTGTTGCTTCGGCACAGTCCTAGAATGCGAAAGTGAAAAAATGGCAGATGTCCAAAACAGTTTTTATTTTTAGATAACGTTTTGGCAAAAAGCCCACGTCAGAACAGAACAACAGAACAGATGTGGAATTACCTGCTTATGTCACGTCTGTGTCCAACCAGGAAATCAAACAAACGCACTTAGCAAGAAATTTAATTAAATCTTAAACTTGTTCATTGTGTTTAGTGACAGAAGCGACTTGACCTGTGAAGCACACTTTGTGTTTGTGTTTGAGTCTGTTGCGTGTGTTGCGTTTGAGTCTGTTGTTTGCGTGCGTTGCGTTTGTGTTTGCGTCTGTTGCGTGTGTTGCGTTTGAGTCTGTTGTTTGCGTGTGCGTCTGTGTTTGCGTGTGTTGCGTTTGCGTGTGTTGAGCTTGTGTTTGCATCTGTTGCGTTTGCGTCTGTTATGTTTGAGTCTGTTGCGTTTGCGTCTGTTGTGTTTGAGTCTGTTGTGTTTGCGTCTGTTGCGTTTGTGTTTGCGTCTGTTGCGTTTGTGTCTGTTGCGTTTGAGTCTGTTGCGCGTGTTGCGTTTGCGTCTGTTGTGTTTGCGTCTGTTGCGTTTGTGTTTGCATCTGTTGCGTGTGTTGTGTTTGCATCTGTTGCGTTTGCGTCTGTTGCGTTTGAGTCTGTGTGTGTTGCGTTTGCCTCTGTTGTTTGCGTCTGTTGCATTTGTGTTTGCGTGTGTTGCGTTTGTGTGTGTTGTGATGTTGCGTTTGCATCTGTTGCGTTGTTCTGTTTGAGTTTGTTGCGTTTGTGTCTGTTGCGTTTGCGTCTGTTGCGTTTGTGTCTGTTGCGTTTGCGTCTGTTGCGTTTGCGTCTGTTGCGTTTGCGTCTGTTGCGTTTGCGTCTGTTGCGTTTGCGTGTGTTGCGTTTGCGTGTGTTGTTTGAGTCTGTTGTGTTAACGTGTGTTGTTTGAGTCTGTTGCGTTTGCGTGTGTTGTGTTTGCGTGTGTTGTTTGCGTGTGTTGTGTTTGCGTGTGTTGTTTGAGTCTGTTGTGTTAACGTGTGTTGTTTGAGTCTGTTGCGTTTGCGTGTGTTGTGTTTGCGTGTGTTGTTTGCGTGTGTTGTGTTTGCGTGTGTTGTTTGCGTGTGTTGTGTTTGCGTGTGTTGTTTGAGTCTGTTGCGTTTGCGTGTGTTGCGTTTGCGTGTGTTGTTTGCGTGTGTTGTTGCGTGTTGTTTTGCGTGTGTGTGTTTGCGTGTGTTGTTGCGTGTGTTGTTTGCGTGTTGTTTGCGTGTGTGTGTTTGCGTGTTTGTTTCGTGTGTTGTTTGCGTGTGTTGCGTTTGCGTGTGTTGTTTGCGTGTGTTGTTTGCGTGTGTTGTGTTTGCGTGTGTTGTTTGCGTGTGTTGCGTTTGCGTGTGTTGTGTTTGCGTGTGTTGTTTGAGTCTGTTGTGTTAACGTGTGTTGTTTGAGTCTGTTTGCTGTTGCGTTTGCGTGTTGTTGTTTGAGTCTGTTGTGTTAACGTGTGTTGTTTGAGTCTGTTGTGTTAACGTGTGTTGTTTGAGTCTGTTGCGTTTGCGTGTGTTGTGTTTGCGTGTGTTTGTTTGCGTGTGTTGTTTGCGTGTGTTGCGTTTGCGTGTGTTGTGTTTGCGTGTGTTGTTTGTGTCTGTTGCGTTTGCGTGTGTTGCGTTTGCGTCTGTTCTGTTTGTGTCTGTTGTTTGTGTCTGTTGTTTGTGTCTGTTGCGTTTGCGTCTGTTGCGTTTGCCTCTCTTCTGTTTGTGTCTGTTGCTTGTGTCTGTTGCGTTTGTGTCTGTTGTTTGTGTCTGTTGCGATTGTGTTTGCATCTGTTGTGTTTGTGTTTGCGTCTGTGTTTGCGTGTGTTGCGTTTGCGTGTGTTGCGTTTGCGTCTGTTGCGTTTGCGTCTGTTCTGTTTGCGTCTGTTGTTTGTGTCTGTTGTTTGTGTCTGTTGTGTTTGCGTCTGTTGCGTTTGCGTCTGTTGCGTTTGCGTCTGTTGCGTTTGCCTCTCTTCTGTTTGTGTCTGTTGCTTGTGTCTGTTGTTTGTGTCTGTTGTTTTTTGCGTCTGTTCTGATCTGATTTGTCTCTTTTACAGAATCTCAAACATCTGCTGAAGGCCGTCACTCTGGAGAACCTCATTTCTCATCGCAGCCTCCTGTTCGAAGGCCGACTGGTGCTGACAGGTGAGCACCTGCTGGACTCAGGGTTCGGGTTAGATCAGGGGTGTCAAACATACGGCCCGGGGGCTGGATCCGGCCCTCCAAGACCTTTAATCTGGCCCTCGGCTGATTTTCTGCTAACATATTTTTATTATATTTTCTATTAAAATCTTGTTAATTTTGCGCGGTGCTGAGCAGAACAGCGTCTCCAGCGTCTCTGTACGTGGCCCCTCCCACCAGAGCAGCACAAATGAAGACTTGTCTCTTTCCAAACGCTCTTAAAGGACGATCGTTTTGACTGTTGACCGTGACACCCTCATCAGAAAAATGTCCAACATGAGAAAAGTGGAGCTGAGTGCAGGATTTTACAACAAAAATTGACTTATTCCTGTTTACAGACAAGTTCATGTTAAAACTTTGTGTTGAAATTGTATTTTTCTTAAAGTTTCAGGTTGTTCATAATATTATAATATTTAGTAAAAGAATTATATGACATGAGTTTTCTGCTCCGGACACTTTGGGGTCAGAGTCGGTTGGACACGACCCCCGGACTAAAATGAGTTTGACACCCCTGGGTTAGATAGTACGCTCCGGAGGGACGGCCTGCTGTTGTTGGTCAAAAAGTGTTAAAGTTTTGGAGCACGGTTGAGGTTAAAGTTCTTCTGTTCATGTTACAATCTGGTGTTTTGGTTCAAGACGATTTGTCCAGTCAGAAGCAGATTGAGCCTCACGTGACTCTTTCAGTTGAGTTGCTGGTTCAAAGCTGAAATCCAGTTGGTTTAAAAATAAAATGTCTCCCTAAACCCCAGCACCTGCAGCAGTCCTGAGTCAGTGCTAGTGCAGCCTCTGCAGCTCAGGGAGGGACCTGTGGAGGTTCTGAGCTTCACATGACGCCTGAACATAAACTGAGAATAAAGAGACAAACTTGGACGTGTCTTTATCTGCAGGTTTTGGCTCAGGGAAGTTGTGATTGTAATACCTTTTTAAACCAGTAGGGGGCTGCTGTTCCTTTACCTGACACGTGTCTCCAGGAGTTTTTCATGATCAGATCTTTTACTCTAAACACACAACACGAGTCATAATCAGATTATCAGAGTTTATCTGAATCCTGGAGTTTGTGATCGTCTCCAGTGAAGCGTCTCCTCCGTCTGCGTCACTTCTTCTTGCTGCTGAAGCGTCCGGACGTGTTATCAGGTTCACGAGGAGGAGGAGGAGGAGGAGGAGCCTCAGGGGGCAGAGCAGTTTGGACTTTCCTGTAATAAATCAAATGATTAATTAGTAACTGCGTTTTGTGTTTGTCTTTATGAGAGATAAACTCAAGCACTTTAATAAGGACACTTCAGTGCACCAGATCAAATCTATATTGAACAAAAGGTTTATTAAGAACGAGTCGGGCTTAAAAACAGATTTATGAGATGGATAAATAGATTGAGACTTTATTAGAGTAACCAGACGTCTCTTTTACCTGGGACAGTCCCAGTTTTGAGCCTGTGTCCCCTGTCCAAGCAGATTTATTTTAAAAAACAGTGATTTGTCCAAGTTTTATACAAAAAATTTAACAAGTGTCTCTATTTTTGACCAGTCTGATCCCTGCCCACAGTAAAAAAGAGACATAAACTGACATTTGTTTCGGTAAAATACAGAAAAGCTGCTTAAAAATGACAAAAACACAAAGAAAATGTGACTATACTGACTCATGCTTGCTAATATTGATCCAAACTGTGACAGATGCCTCCAGTTTCCAGCAACTTCTGGACTGATGTGTTAAATATTTTATCACAAATCATCTGTTTTGTTTGAGGAGGTTTGTAACTCACGTAAAAAAAATAAACACTCGCGGAGATCCAGATCCATTTATCAATTTAAAGAACAAAAAAAAATAAAATAATATTCTCGATGGTTGACTTTCTTTTTGATATAGGCGAGTTTCATTGTTGACAAAAGCGCGCGTTTCATGCTGGGAATTATTTTGGTCTGCGGCAAGAAACACTAATTCAACATGACGGACGGAGCGAGAAAGCACGTAAAGGGTATTGATCCCGGTTATTTATCCACTCTAACAGCAGAGGACCCAAGACCATTTGACCAGAAATTGATAAACATCAATGGACGACAAATCACCCTTTTCAACCCCGACAGAGCCTGGACCAAACCAAATTTCTGGTCAGAATCTCCAACTACCTGGACAAATATTCACTTGGGCGACATCCACAATGACTTGGTGGAAACTCCTGGGCCATTCACAGCAGAAAAGATGAAAACCTCCAAGAGTCTGGATGTGTTGTTGAACTTGTTGGAGTCCACGGTTTGTTAGGATCTTCTACGTTTGCTCTGCGGATGTTTGAAAGTCGTTTAATTCACCGTTAGTGGTTCTTTTCACTCAGAATACGAAAAAGACATTTTCCTTCTTCCTGTGCTTCTATTTGTGCATCTGATAATGCAGCAGGAATTTACCATTATCGGGGATAAATACGCGAGGTTACACACTGTGTTTGACGCTACCGTGTTTCTTGCCTCTGACCAAAATATTTCCCAGCAGCAACGCGGGCTTTTAATAACAATGACGTCAGCTGAAACTCGTCTATCGTGTGGTCACAAAATAGTATCTTCTCCTCCTGCTGCTACAGGTGACAAGATCTACCTGACTGCAGGAGGAAAGGAGGGGAGAGGAGATCAAGATCACCAAGAATAGAAATTCTATCATAAAGAAAAATCCTGCTTAATATTATATAAACTGGCTGCAACATTCCGGCCCCTAATCGTTGTAGCAAAACAATTACCATATTTTAACAGTAGACGGAGCCATAAAATCTTAAATTCAAGTTAAATAAAAAAATAACCAGTATTATCATTATCATATATAATTTTAAACCAATTTAAGCCAACCAGAAGATCTTAAGTTTCTTAAATTCAACTAATAGTTCAAAGTTCTTGTTTTTGTCTTTTAATTTCTTAAGTAAATATAAACTGGCTCCGACATCATCTCTGCTCTGTTTGGTTGTTACACTTGAACCGTCTACGCCAAAGTATCAAAAAAATCTCAATTAAAACTCTCCTTATTCTTCTTAAATGGACGTCTCCTGCTCCACCCAGAGTCGACGCTCGGATTAGAGACTTTCTGTATTTTGTGAACTGAGAAAAAGTCAGATGTCGTCTCGGGGGGAAAACATGGGTTCAATTTTTTCAGTTTGTTGAGTCATTTAATTGTTTTTCACTCTTGTCTTTGATTCCTGTCTCACTCTTTTTTCAATCTGGTACATGTTTATTGTGAGTAGGTGACCTGGTAGTGTGTTTTTTTTTGTGTGTGTGGGTGTCTGTTTTACTCAGCTTTTTGTCTTTATTTAAATCCTGTCAATGCAGATATTTGGAAATTTGTTATTAACTAAAGTTTGGAAGAAAAATAAATAAATAATGAAAAGGCCGAGCACAGAACAATTTTCCTTAATTACTCACATAATTCACTACTTTTTTATTACCAACCACTTCGAATTGGAGGTGTCCCAGTTTTTTTTTAAATGTATTATTATTTTATTTATTTTTTTTTTTAATAATTTGTCAAGTTTGAGGGATTGGATACCCAGCACATCCACAAAAATACAGACTTAACTAAACACGCATACAAAAAATAAATAAATAATTTAAAAAATAAAATAATAATAATTGAGTTTTTGATTCTGAAAATTTGTTCTCACTAAACTTTATTGCTCCCAAAGTAAATTCAAAATGATTCACTGAAGGAGTTGAGGTTTGGCGTTCGGTGACGTAACAGTGACTAAGCCTGAATCATTCTTCATAAATGATTTGCTCACTTAAGTATTTTTTATTGCTACCAAAAGATTTATCGATCAGAAACGGTTAAATGTGTAAGAATGTTTGATTTTTTTTTTTTCTTGTAAATGTTTGACTTTCGTAACAAATCTTTGTCTCACTCCAGAAAACACGAAGCTCCTCGACGTTTACCTGTTCCTGTTCGACGAATTTCTCCTCATCACAAAAATCAAGAGAAGCAAAAAGGTATTTTCTTGAGTGATTCTCGTCTGTTCAGATCCTTCGGTGGTTTTCAGATTCCAGAGTGTGATAACGTCAAACTCACAGACGGGGGCAGGACACAGTTTGATTACGTCACAGTTCTTCATCGGGATGGGACGAGATCTGTTCCCTCGAGACTCCGCGCACACGAGAAAATCAGTCTGACGATTTGAGATTTGATCCTGTCTTTACATTTGGTATCTGGCCTCGCTCAGGCTCTGGAAATTTGCGTGATTTTGAGCAGCTGTAGCAGAAGACTCCTCCACAGAGACACGAAAACTTTAAACTCTGTTACAGTTTTGAATTCGTCGTGATCAGACCAGAGGAGCAGATACTAGGGTTGGGCTTTATCCAGATTTTGATACCGTGAAAGCATCTCAGGATTGTACCGGGGCATACAGTTTTACCTCGGGCCGGGTATCATTCAGAATTTGCCGATACGATACATATCGCGATACATAGGCCACAATACGATACATATTTCGATACAGTGAGCGTACGATTCGATATAATTCAATACGATATATTTCAAATCAGTTCGATACGGTCCAATAAAAAAATAATGTCTAAATCATGGCTGTGATACTAAAAGTTCTTTGTTAAACCACTTCTTGGGCAAAGTTCAAATGAAACAAACATTTTGATCAGCAAAACAGTGAAAATGTCAAATGTGTCGCATAAACAAGTTTCCTTCCACTAAACCACAGGTGTCAAACATAAGGCCCGGGGGCCAGATCCGGCCCTCCAAGACCTTTAATGTGGCCCTTGGGTGATTTTCTACTAAAATATTTAAAATGTTGAAATTGAGTTCATCAATTCAAAAAGATTTCTGTAATAGATTTGCGTTTTTCTGTACAAATATTTGAACTTATTGTTATTTTTGGGGTTTATATGACATGAGTTTTCTGATCCGGCCCCTTTGGGATCAAAGTCGGTTGGACACGGCCCCGGACCAAAATGAGTTTGACACTCCTGCACTAAACAATCAACAAAACTGTAGCTGTAACAAAATAATTTAGTAAAATATACCAAAAAAATTAATCTTGGTGATATGTCGATACAGCAGCCCACGATATCGATATTGTATCATCACATTAAACGATACGATATTTCAATATTTCAGCACACCCCTAGTATTACCGTATTACCAAAATGTTTTAGTACGACTTTGGTAAACTTTGAAGCCTCACCGCTGTACAGTCTGTGTGTGAGATCTGCAGATTTAAGTTACGCATCCAAAAGTTGTAGTTTTTACGCTCGTGTAGGACGAAGTACACGTGCAGTGGAGCCAGGCCCATAATCTCTGAAAAGTTAAAACACGAACCGTCTCCAACACGACACAGAACAGACTCACGATCAGCCGGAACTGATAATGAAACTGAGACCGTTGCTATTTTTTGATACCGCAGTATATTGTAACACCGTATTACCGCCCAACCCTAGCAGATACAGTTTAGTCGAATCATTTAAATAATAAAAATGAAGTTTAATAACATATTGTAGACTAAGGCTGTGCAATGAATCGAATTTTCATCACGATTTCGATTTGTGTCAGTCTGCAAACTCATATAATCAAGTTGAAACGATTTACGTGCCGGTGAAAGTGAAGACCGGAACCGTAGTTTTGCAAAGAATCATGTGGTGCGTCCGCAAGCGCAGCAGGACTCACGTCTGTCTCACTATTTAACAGATATTTCTGCCGCTGGACTTATTTTCTCCGCTAAAGCGCGACATGTAAACAAACAACGTCGTGTGCGGAACATAAAACCCAGAGCACAATCCTGTCTGAACCCGGCACGGTTCTAAAGTCGCACTAAAGCTTCAAAAAGTTCATTTTGGGATATTTTTTATATAAATATAGAGATTGTAGAGCAGCAGGATATATAGTTTATTTTGGATACATTTATGTTTTTCTACGTCTTGCTTCATGTTCAAAGTTTATTTTATTCAATTTATGTTTTATACATTACAAAACTGATCAAAGGTTTATATTTGGAGCCGATAATTATTTTAAATTGAAAAGTTTTGCGTAAATTATCAAAAACAAACTGTTTGTTTTTAGAGAGAGAAATGCTGAATAAATGCATTGTGTAACTACAAAATAATCGTTTGAATAATCGTGATTTCAATATTGACCAAAATAATGGTGATAATGATTTGGGGATTTTGGGAAATGGTGTTTAAAGCGTTAAGGTTGTTTAATGCGTCAAAACTATATGATGAAAATGACTTAATATGTCGACAGTTATAAAAATGACAAAATAAACTCATTCACAACACAATATCTAAAGAAACCAATTAAAAATCATGAGATTAAAAGTCTGAATTGATCCCATTATTCTTCAAAATGTCGTCTTGTGAAAATTTAAATTTATAATTTTGTCATTTTGAGTGAATGGATACTCGGCACATTCATAACAAAATAGACACAACAAAATAAAAGACTAACACACATACAAAAAAAAAAAAAAAAAAGCAACAACAAAAGAACAAAGTAAAAAAAGTAGTAAAAGTTAAAAAAAAAAAATAAAAAAGAGAAGAAAGAAGAAAAAAAGGCCGTTGGGCGTTTGCATGTGAGTTTTTACATTTTGGAGCTGACAAATCAAAGTTGCATTTACGCATTTTCTTTTTTTCATCTCGTGAAAATTGTCTCGTCCCGTCCCGAGTTCTTTAACACGAAACCTCCAAAAGTTAAATTCACAAATGTTGAACGTGATCATTTCTCTGCGGGACCAGAGCCAAGATCTCGCTCTTCTACTCCACAATTCTGCATTTGAACATTTTTAATTTGAGCTGCTTCCGTCTGTGTTTAATCTGATGGGCCTGGAGAAGCTTGGGACGTTCTGATGTTCTCATGTCCTGACCTTCTGATGTTGTGAGATTATGATGTTCTGACGTTGTGATGTTCTGACCTTCTGACCCTGTGATCTTTTGACGTTCTGATGTTGTGATGTTGTGATGTTCTGACATTCTGAAGTTCTGATGTTCTCATGTCCTGACCCTGTGATGTTCTGATGTTCTCATGTCCTGACCCTGTGACGTTCTGATGTTCTGAATGTTCTGATGTTCTCATGTCCTCATGTCCTGACCTTGTGACGTTCTGATGTTCTGATGTTCTGATGTCTCATGTCCTGACCCTGTGATGTTCTGATATTCTGAAGTTCTGATGTTCTGATGTTCTCATGTCCTGACCCTGTGATGTTCCCTGACCTGTGTTTGTGGCTCTGCTCCGTCCAGAGGTCCATCGAGCAGAACCCTCTGAGGCTGCCCCAGAACCAGGAGCTGGAGCATCTTCTGAAGGACGGCTGGACCTTCACGGTGGTGGACCAGCCCGTGTCTCTGGACCGACTCCAGCTCAAGAACATCGACCAGCTCAACGCCTCCAGTGAGATCTTTAGACTCCTCATCTCCATTATTACAAACCACTACTCACTACTCTTTAAAGCTGCACTGCGTAACATTTCTGGTGGAGACTCCGCCACCTGATATCTCCATGGAAATGTTCTTGCTTTGTCTAGAATGTTCCACAGTATAGATTAAACCTGTCCGTCACGAGAGATGCAGCACTACGCGACATTACACGAGGAATTATTGTATTTTTGAGCAACACAAACAGCTGTAATGAATATGTAAAAGTTTAAAGTCACACCACGGAACATTCCAGGTAAAACAACGATCCACGTACCATTGGTTATTTTGGATTTCAATAAAGAACGAAAAACTATAAAATGGGAAAAACAGTTTGAAATAGTCACAGTGACAATGTTTTTGATTGATGGTTATTTGAATTTTTTTTTTGATTTTCTTTAGATTTAGACAAACTTTATTGATCCACAAGGGAAATGATTTGGACACAGGAGTCACACATCACAATAAAATATAATAACAAAAAGAGAAAAAATATAAATGGTGATTCTAAATAAGCAGCAGAGACAATTGTCAAAATAAACTTTAAACTAAATATTAGAAATAGAGATCGAAATCATTTTTTTGTTTGACACTAAAACTGAAAAAAATGAAAAATGAAATCAACTGTTTTCCCATTTTCTTGTTTTTCTTTCTTTATTGAAATTCAAAAGAGCCGTTGTTTCGCCTGGAATGTTCCATGGTTTGACTTTAAACTTACACATATTCATTACAGGTGTTTGTGTTGCTCAAATATACAATCATTCCTTCTGTAGTGTAGATCACTGCTGCCGCTCTCTCTCTCTCTCTCTCCTGATAAACAGGTTTAATCTAAACAATCACATCTCCATGGAGACGAGCAGGTACAAAAGTTCCGCAGTGCATTATTTTCTGATCTCTGGAGTTGTGTTTTGTTTCTTTCACACATGTTTAACACACAAACCTGCAGATACACACTGAGTTCTGACAGTTCAAACAGAAAACACTCTGTTCCACCTTGTGATGTCACGTGGTAATTAATACAGGAAGTGCTCCACTGTGGGTTTTTTTTTGGTTTATTTATTTATTTATTTTATTGTTTTATTGCCACAAATCAATTCACATCAACAGTGTCCTGAAACCAGGCCCTCACACAATTTACATATTTACCCTTTTTTCAAAAATTAAATAAATAAATAAAAATAAATATAAAAAAATATAATAAATTAGATAAAATTTAAATACATAAAATTAAAGTAAAAAAAAAAAAAAGTTAAATAAAATTAAAACACATAAAATAAAATAAAAATACATAGAATGTAATTAAATAAAAAATACAATTAAAATACATAAAATACCTTCACTAGAATCAACTGGATGATTTTTTTTTTTCAGCCCTGGAATTGCTCAACTCTACTGAACTTAATGCAAAAAAAAAAAAAAAAAAAAGGAGCTGTTCACTTGCAAACTTCTGCTTCATGACATCACAAGGTGGAACAGAGCGTTTGGAGTTTTGTAGATGTAGACAGACTCATAATAAAGAAACAAAACACAAGTCCAGGTCTGTTTTTGAGGAGGGAACAACATTTTAACATGATTTGAAGTGTGTAATATGGAGCCTTTAACAACTTTTTTCATGATCTCAAAGCTTCTAATATTTCCAGAGTGATTAAAAGTTGATTTTATTTTGTTTTTGTTTGTTTTTCCAGCGTCGGGTTTGCCTCACTCGTTTATCATCATGCACCAGAACCGGTACCAGCAGTGTATCGGAGCCTTCATCCTGCAGGCTCCTTCTGAAACGGCAAAAGTAAGACGACGTTTTCACACTTTTTTGTACTTTTATCTTTTTACAAACACTGGGATCAGGTGACATCACAACATTCTACTGACAGTTTTCAGATTTTGTAAAACATGAAACACTACAATACAAAAAAAAACAAAAAAAAAACACAAAAATTGGTTAAAACTGACCTGTTTATAACCCTTGGCTTTTAGGATGTATAGTGTCATATATTTTGCTAAAAAAAAAAAGTGTTTGGCTAAAAGTTTTGTGACCAGTGTACTTCAGGAGACTCATAATTATTTTGTTGATTTAAATAAAGGCCTTTTAATTATACGTTTTCTCAACACATAATTAATTTGAAACCGCGTAATAAACAGGTGTGGGTTAATGTTTTTCTTCTTCCCGCTCCTTTTTGAGAACTTTTTCTTTTGTTTACAGTGTAGATGTAGTTTGTATATGATGATTTTTTTTCTCTCTTGGCGCAAACTCAAAATAAAAAACACGACTCAGTCACTCAGTTGAAGATTGTGATGTCATACTCCCAGAAAAAGGTTCTCCAGCCTTTTTCCTCTGGTGAGCTTCATTTACCAAACAAAATACTAGAGAACTACTCATTTTAGTGTTTGCAAGAAATTTACATATAAAAGTCACTGCAAGCACATAAACCATAAACCATTATCCATTTATTAGTAAGTAGTATTATTAACCACAAAGTTGGGTTATAAAATGATGGTCTCAGGTGTCTGCACTGCCCCCTGTGGCTCAGAGACGTTACAGCGGCTCGGTTTGTGTTGGAGTCTCCACGGTCCAGCTCCAAACTACATCTGTGACATGTTAGAGCCGCATGAAACAGAATCAGTGTGTCATTCGTTCATTAGTTTTTCAATATAAAACCAAAAATAAGAAAATGAAAAACAACAGTTTTCTTCATTATTTGTCTCCAAAACCAAAATAAAAAAACGGATAACGATTCGTTTTTTCAGTTTTCGATTTTGTGTTTAAATGAAAAATGGAAAAAACGGATAACGACCGTTTCCCGTTTACGTGACTTCTGTGACTGTGATGCTGAACTTTTGCACCGGGTACGGACTGAACCAGGACTGATCCAGGTCCGATCCAGGTCCAGGACCAGAGCGGGACCAGAGCCGAACTGAGACCGGAACTGAGACCGGAACTGAGACCGGAACTGAGACCGGGACCAGAGCGGAAATGAGACCGAGACCAGTGGTCCGAGTGGTTCCGTGTCATCGTCTGTGCGCTGGTTCCGTGCGGGGAAAGTGAGAATGTTCTGTGGACTACAGGTCTGGTCCTCCGCACTCAAGAACCGTGGCTGGTTCCGAGGTGGAGCAAAGCCTCCGACTGACGCTTTCACACCAACGAAGCTTTTGGTTCAAATGGACCAGGTTCGGGACCAGACCGGGACCAGAGCGGGACTGAGACTGAGACAAGACCAGGACCAGACTGGAGGCTCAGAGCCCACAGCAGGGCCGGAGCTCAAAGCTGAGGCTCAGACCCTGCAGAGGTTCAGAGTCAAAGCTTGGAGTCCGCCCTGGTCCCGGTCTGGTCCCGGTCTCAGTCCGGACCTGGATCGGACCTGGATCAGTCCTGGTTCAGTCCGTACGCGGTGCAAAAGTTCGGCATCGCAGTCACAAAAGTCACGTAAACGGGGAAACGGCCGTTATCTGTTTTTTCCATTTTTCATTTAAACACAAAATCGAAAACTGAAAAGTCGAATCGTTATCTGTTTTTTCATTTTGGTTTTGGAGACAAATAATGAAGAAAACTGTTGTTTTTTCATTTTCTTATTTTTGATTTTATATTGAAAAACAAATGAACGAATGATACACAGATTAAACATCTGCACTGTGAGGAGTTCAGGGACCAGACTCCTGATGTAGTCCTGGTTTAGTCCTGGTTTAGTCCTGGTTTAGTCCTGGTTTAGACCTGGTTTAGTCCTGGTTTAGTCCTGGTTTAGTCCTGGTTTAGTCCTGGTTTAGACCTGGTTTAGACCTGGTTTAGACTCGGGCTCCTGCTGGTGCTCAGTCAGAGTTTCAGCTGCAGCTCAAACCTGGAACAGACTGAAGATGTGACACAGACTTTAGACTCTGACTCTGTTTAAATCCAGACTCAGAACTGTTCTGTTCAGCTGCTTATGTTTCCACGGAGACCAGCAGGTAGCACATTACAGGTCAGATCTGTGGAGAGGCCAGTGCAGCACAGTGAGGATAGTGTTTTTTAATCCAATCTGATCCACTTTTCCAAAGTGCTGCACAAATATATAGTAAGAACAACAATAGAAGTTTTAACAGTATAATTTAGTGATATAATCACCTGAAATTGAACAAAGCAGGATCGAAAAGTGAGAATAGAAATAAAAATAAATATAGAAAAAAATAATAAAAGAAATAGAAAAAAAAAAAAAAAAGAATATAAGCAGTTTCTTTGCTTTATTATTAATAATAAAGCAAAGAAATTTCTGATAATAAGAATTTATAATATTTAGTAATTAATACGTGAATAATAATACATAAATAAAAATGTATAATTAAAATAAAAATGGAAAATAATGTAAAATAGAACAAAAATATATAATACTAATAAATAAATAACAATAAAATAATATAATAAAAAAAATAAGAATAATACAATAATAATAAAAAATAAATAAAATAGAATAAAATGCATAATAATAATAATAAAATAAATATAATTAAAAATAAAAATAGGAAATAATAATAGATATATATCTATAGATAATATATCTAATATATAGATATATAATCTATATCTATATCTATATATATATAATATAAATGAAAATGGGATACAGTGGAACATCCCGAGAGACAACCAGGTGGTGGATCCTGTACCAGAAAAGTTACATAATGCGCCTTTACATCTCACAAGAATCTCTTTTGTGTGACAGAGGAGCTTGAAGAGTTTTTAAGAGTGAACCTGTTGTGTTTGGTGTTCGCAGAGAGCCTGGATGTCAAAGATCGAGGAGGCGGTGACGACTCTGCTGAAGCAGGACTCTCAGCAGCCGCGACTCAAGAGCGCCCCCCTGTGGCTCGAGTCTTCACAGATCTGATCCTCAAAGCCATTTTCTGTCCCCGTGCACTTGGACGTCTCGTCTCTGCGGACGTCCTCACTGACTCTTTTAGTTTTGTACAGTGTCTTTGGCCTCCGGGCGGCTGCTGCGTCGTCAACAATAAATGTCATTATTTAGAAAACGACGCTGGTTTTTCTTCACACGGGACAAAAAGTCTGATGAAACGGGAAAGATCTGAGTTTTGGAGAATGTTAAAAGTGTTTAACTGTGTCATTTTTTTAGTTGGGAGGGTCTGTCACCTGCTTGTTTCTATGGAGACATCATTGCTCTGCCTTGAATGTTCCGCAGTGTGACTTTAAACAGCTCGACTTTACATTTATTCAGTTACACGTGGATTTAAAACTCAAAAATACAGAGAAAAACAGACATTCTGACTGTGAGCGGAGTCGCCTCTCCACAGATCTGACCTGGAACTTCTGGTTTGGTCTCCGTGAAGATAGAAAAGTTTAATGCCAGAGTATAAACCAGGAACCATCTAAACCAGGACTAAACCAAAACCAGGACTAAACCAGGACTAAAAACTAAACCAGGAACTAAACCAGGACTAAACCAGGACTAAACCAGGAACTAAACCAGGACTAAACCAGGACTAAACCTCAAAATTACCTAGAAAAACAAATATTCTGACAGTGAGTGGGGTCGCCTCTCCACAGATCTGATCTGTGACTTGGTCTGGTTTGGTTCATTGAAATTTTAAATAATTTCAGTCAAAGCTGCAGTGTGTAATTTTTCTGGTGGAGGCTCCGTCAGACGCTTTTCTCCATGGAGATGTTATTGGAATGTTCCACAGTGTGGCTTTAAACCTTTCCATCTTCATGGAGACCAAATCAGACCAAGTCCCAGGTCAGATCTGTGGAGAGGCGACCCCGCTCACAGTCAGAATATCTGTTTTTCTCTGTATTTTTGAGCTTTAAATCCACCTGTGATTGAATTAAAGTCTGTTTAATGTCACACTGTGGAACATTCCAGACAGAGCAATGACGTCTCCATAGAAACAAGCAGGTGATGGACTCCCAAACAAAAAGTTACACAGTGCAGCTTTAACATTTCCAGTTTGTCTTTGCCACATTACATTAGTTTTCTACTTTTTCTATAATTTCCTCGTCCAAACCTGCACAGACGAACGATCAGAGAGAAATCAGAGGTTGATGTTTTGCAAGCCTCAAGTCTTTGACCTCAAGTCCGAGTCAAGTCCAGGGTCAAACACAGTCAAGTCCAAGTTGAGTCTCGAGTCACTGGCCCATAAGTCCAAGTCAAGTCCAAGTCGTCTGCTTTGAGCTTCGAGTAATTTTAAGTCTTTAAACCATCTTAGATTTTTACAATTTATATGAATTTTAAACTAAATCATATTTTAAAAGTCACGGTTTATTTATGAGTATTTATATAAAAGTTGTAGAAATGCAAATTTTTCCTTTTTAAATGTTTTGACAAGATCTGAGTGTGAATCATCACGGTCAGAACAGAAAGAATTCAGATTTAAAAGTGTTTAATAACAGGTATTTTATCGTCTTGTCTGCACTGAAATGGAAGGATCAGGTTCTGTGTACTTCCCTCTGTTTTACTGTATATTAGTGTATATTTCTGTAGTACTTTTGAGTATCACAGTATTTCAGTTCCATCCAAAGTAACAAACAGAAGTGGGAGCGACATGTTCCAGTTTGTTCCTGTAAAATTAATCACCACATTTATCACCTGTAGAGAGAAAAGTATTCTCTAAAAACAAGTATTTTTTAGGAGAAGCATCAAGCATCTTAAAGGTTGTATGGAGGATTTTTTTTAGTTTCAAATTGTCAGTGAAAGTTTATAACACCATTACAGAGATGCAGCAGCCTTGTAATTATGATGACCAAAAAAAAAAACAGAATGAAAATCTATCGACTGTGGACGTGTTGAGGCCAGATAAACATCAGCCAATAGATGACGAGGCTGCCTCATTTTCTGTTGGCTGTTGAGTTGTCAATCAAACTCCCTACGTTTCTAGTGTAACTGACTCACGGCGTGCAGGGATTACGTGGTTTATGCAGCGGTTCTTAGAGGTTTTTTCAAACTCTAGCTTCCTCGCAGTTCGCACAAAGTTTGTTGCGATGGCGGACGAGAATCCACGACCAGTTCGCCGCAAAAGAAAGTCCGTTTTTGAGGTCGCTGAAAGAAGAAGAGAAGGAGAAAAGGAGCGAAGACAAACTGAGGTGATTCTTGGAGATTTCTTCCAGCAATTGCGCAAATGAAGCAGATGAAGGGTCTAAAAACTGACGCGTCGGTCGCTAAATTATTTCCAGACAGGTCACTTCAACAGTAATTCTGAACGCGCACTGGATGTAAACAAGCGTGATTTCTAGAGTAAAGAGGCGGGAGGAGGTGTTTCTCCTGAGGCTGTGGAGGAGGAAGGTGGTGTCACACATGCACAACATTTGAAAAAGGACTGTCGCTGTATTTCTTTTCGCTTAAAAAAATCCTCTATACAACCTTTAAATCCAAGTCAAGTCCAGAGTCTTAGTCCATTTTATCTTGTCAAGTCTTAAAAACAGTGACTCAATTCTAACTCGAGCCCACTTATGAACAGATTTTTGGAGTTATAAGACATTTAAAAGACTCAAAATGTCTTTAAAAGTGCAGAAATCAAATGACAAATATTATAAGATTATGGATCTGTGGTGTAACTGCAGCCTGTTCAAGTGACATCTCAATAATCTGATAATCTCCAGAAATCAGATTATGATCAGACTCCAGATGAAGAAAAAAGAGGTAGAGCGTTTCAGTGGGTCTTAAGAGTAAAAAAAAAATAGTAGTACAGGTCTACGAGGGTTAAAACAGTCGTCTTTGAACAGAAAATTACCCTTACTGGAAAATGTATCTTACTGGTCGAAACGCGTTTGTGTCCCTTCATGTAATAAAGGACTTTTAATATATTCAGTCCACGTGCCTCGGGTTTGTGCTTTACCTGTTCTTACATTTTCCAGTCAGGGTGATTTTCTGTTCTATGATCAGATTCCGTTGTTGTTGTTGACAGACGAGACTCGTGGAATAGAAACAGACTTAGACTTTATTATTTAAGTTGGTGATGAGATGAAGTGGAACAGAAACGGCTGCGTGTGAAGTGAACAAACATTACATCATTCTTTTCCTCATCACTTCATCACTTCATTCTGGTTCACACTGACCTAAGGCACCGCTCCTCCTCCTCCTCCTCTTCCTCCAAACTCACACACAATCAAACAGTTGTGTGAGACTGAGCTCTGTCCGTGGGCCTGTCACCATCAACACTGTAAAAACTTATCCTCCAAAATATGAACGATCAAACTTGATATTTTGGGTAATTTTTGATTATTTTATTTAATATTTGAGTAAGTTAGATCTGACTGAAAATGTAGAGATGTGCAAAAATATCCATTTATCGTATTTAAAGGTCCATCTGATGTAAAATAACTCTTTTCACATTCTATCTTCTGCACATAAACAAGCACAGTTTGAGTTTTGGAACATTCATGACACAATAGTTCTGAAATCTTACTGATTTCTTGGAGACAGTCACAGACCAGGAACTATGAAAGTCCGACTATTGCTCCTCCCCCCGCCCGTCTTGAGAAAGCACAGGCTCCGCCCTCCAAATGTGACGTAGGCTCTGAGTGAGCCGCCCTTCCTCCGCCGTCTCAGGGAGGGAGGGGGAGACAGGTGTGACCCTGACAGAGGCAGGAATAAACTTTTATTCATCATGGAGACACAGCGCGTTCAGCCGCATGTGTTGGACCCGGAATCGGACGAGGACTTTGAGGAGCACGAAGCTCAAGCACCGCGTCCACATCAACTGAACATTACTGATTGGTAAAGTTTTAATAAACACTAGTAGATAAACTTATTATATCGTGTTCACTGCAGTGTAGAACAATGAGCTTCTGCTGTCGCTTTTGTTTAAGTGTTCATGTGGGAATTGTCAGTCGAGGCGGTGGTGGGTTTTTTTCCCCCCCAAAATGAGGCTCTATGTTCACAGATTTCCTTCCATCATCATTTTGAATCAGATTTCATCCCATTTCTCCCAATTTGTCAATCACACCAAACTATTCTCCAGCAGCCGTCGACTGCAGATGTAATGTTAAGGTCACGGAGCAAAGGAGGATAAAATGACTCTGAATCATATACAAAGTAGGAAAAAAAGTACAAAATAATGAAAAGCCTTTAATACTACATGGCAGATAAAGTTAAAATACGCCAACGCGTTTGGCCCTTTGGCCTTCATCAGGGCAAACTCGAGATGGATGTCACAGTGCAGATTTAAAGTAATAGGTGTAGGTCACATGTTCGCAGTGGCCAGCCCACTGTGAACATGTGACCTACACCTGTGGTATTAAAGGCTTTTAATTATTTTGCACTTTTTGAGTGCCTCAGTTTTTTTCCTACTTTGTATTTGAGACTGATCCCTACACTGAAGAGCATCAAAAGGACAATTCTACACATTTTTGTATATCCAAGTAGCACTGCTGACTCTGAATCATCTTTTTAAATGTGGTATAAAAATTTAAAAAATCACTTGAATTAGTTTCATTTTGAGAAATATCTTAGAAATGAGGGAGCATAGAGCTGAAAGCCGGCTGCTGTATCGATAAATTGCCAAGACTATTTTTGGTATATTTTACTGAATTATTCTGTTACATCTTGTTTAGTGGAGGGAAACTCTCAGAGACATCTGTTATTCTGACACGCCGCTATTTACACATCAACGTCTCATTGTCGGAGTAGCGGCATAAACATTGTTTTTCAAGGGTCACACTCCTTCGACTTTTTTTCCCCATTTTCCGAGTAGAGGTACTTTACTATTATTCATGTCAGAAAAGCAAAATGTTAAAAAATAGTAATGTGATAGACTGTTATACTTTGCGCTTCCACATATCATTAGAGTGCCTCCGCTCAGTTTCATTTCTCTCCAGCTCTAGATCAGGAATCAGAACACACGAGATGATTTGCATAAACTGTGAGCTGTGAAGTCATGACGTCAAAGTGGTGGCGTCTGTCTGCACAACAGTAAACGTTGCGTCGAGATGAACGTAGACGAGAAGACAGACAGACAGACATTCT